CGTGAGGAACACAAATGCTAACAAGCCTGAATGGTCCCCAGGACTATATGCGACTGAAAACTCACACCTCAGAAGTGACTCGAACCCATACAGCCAGGAGCAACGCAACTGGTATCTACCAGCACGGGAGACATCTCCCGTCACGCAGCTGCAGTTGCACCTCCACAGATCTCCAGTGTCAGCTCTTGATACTGGTAATGGCTCAAAAGGGCCACCACTTACGGGCTATTCATGCCCGTGCCACCTTTTGGGTGGCTTAAACTTCAGTTCTATTCAGTTGTGTATTTGTAAACTAAAGTCTTTGAAAATGTAATAAGTTTTACGAAACGCGCTCGTGTCGCGTCAGACTAGAAATAAAAATGAATTTTGGAGAATTGATTTTTGATTTACCTCCAACAGTGAAAAGAAATGTACGAAAGATTGAGAAAATTCGTGTTAGAATTATTAATCTTACTTTTTCGGTCATATTTAATAATATATATATATATATATATATATATATATATATATATATATATATATATATATATGTTTCATTGAATATGAACGCATATTCTGTATTTATTATTTTCTGGTTTAGGGCTTCTATCCCTCTAACTATTTTCTTAGCATCAGGGCTTAATTGAAATAGGAGTTCTCCAAAACTCATTTTCGTACTTTTAAGGTGAAGAAAAGAAGTGATTTACTATAGAGTGTATTACACTTATTTGTATAATTTGCACGACGTTTCGAACCTCCATGGTTCATTCTCAAGTGAACAGATCTTACAATACTAGTTGATTTTATACCCGCATTAGGTCAGGTGATAATACAATGAAGGTGAAAACATGGGGGGATACATAAGGGATAAACATAGGGGCTGCAGAAGGCTTATTGGCCCATACGAGGCATCTCCTATCTAAACACAAAGATTAATCCAGTGTAATTGGCCTGTTATGTTGGACATTGTCTTCTGTGTTGGCATCGATATGTTCTTGTCTTGTCCTTACTCTCATGGTGGGTAGAGTAAATAGTTCCGTGATTTGGGTGTTCATGGTAGGTCGCTCTATTCTTATGTGAATTGCCTCAAGAATTTGTAATCTTCTTGAATCTTGGGTTTTGTCTATTATGCAAGTATTCTTGTTCAACATTTCTCTTGTTAGAGTAATATCATGGGCTTGTCTCATGTGATTCCTAGGGGCACCAGATTGAAGATGGCATGTCAAACGCCTCGTCAGCTTGGTCGACGTCATACCTATGTACTTACATTGAAGGTTACATCCTTCGTGGGGGCAAGTGTACATGTATACAACGCTTGACTGCTGTAGAGGGTTCTCCGTCGGCTTCGGGCTGTTTTTGATAAGGAGTTCGGAAGTCTTCTTGGTTTTGTAGAATATTATCAGGTTTATGTTTTGGTTAGGAGTAGTGCTTTTTACTCCTTTACGGATTATTTCTTTCATTATTCTTTCCTCTTTTATATGTTCACTGTGCATGGTTGATTTGTAATATAATTTTATTGGGGGTGTTGTGGTTTCTGTTCTAGGTTCAGAATTATACCAACGGTCCAAGTGTCTTCTTATAGCAGCGTTTATTTCAGCGTTGCTATATCCGTTGTTCACCAATACCTGAGTTACTCTTTCAAACTCTCTACTCACATTGCTCCATTCAGAGCAGTGGGTAAGCGCTCGACGAATATAAGCATTGAGAACACTGGCTTTGTATCTTTGGGGGCACTCACTTCTACCGTTCAGGCATAATCCTATGTTGGTGGGCTTGGTATATACGTTGGTGCTTAAAGAGGTTCCTGTTTTTGTTATTAGTACATCCATGAATGGCAGACTGTTATTTTCACTATTTTCGTGTGTAAATCGGAGTACTGACTCTCTCTCTAGGTGTCTTTTTAGGTCAATTAGTTCATCTGAGTCTTTTACTATTACGAATATGTCATCTACATAACGGCAGTATACAGTTGGTTTTTGTCTGCTACTGAAGACCCTATCTTCGATGGTTCCCATATAAAAATTAGCAAATAAAACTCCTAAGGGGGAGCCCATTGCTACTCCGTCTATTTGTAAATACATGTCTCCTTGTGGACTGATGAAAGGGGCTTCCTTTGTACATCCTTCGAGAAGACTTTTCAAGTGTGGCTCAGGTATGTCTAATTTGGGGGTGCTCTCGTCTCTGTATACTCTGTCCAGTATCATTCCTATGGTTGTGTCGACTGGGACGTTGGTAAAAAGGGATTCAACGTCCAGGGAAGCGATGATTCCATCGGGCTGGGTAGATTTGATCAATTCTAGGAAATCTGCTGATGATTGTAGACTAAACATACTTGGAGTGTATGGAGTTAGGAGTTCATTGAGTTTCTTTGCCAGGTGATAAGTTGGGGTTGGTATTTGGCTGATTATAGGGCGTAGTGGGTTACCTGGTTTATGCGTCTTAACATTGCCGTAGGCATATCCTAAGCCATAGTCGCCTTGAAGTTTATTGAAATGCACACTACCTTTCTTTGCGTTGATTGCTGTAATTGTTTTGTTTACTTTCAGCTTAAGGTCTTCTACGGGGTTCCTCGTGATTCGTTGAAATTTGAAACTTCAAGGCGACTATGGCTTAGGATATACCTACGGCAATGTTAAGACGCATAAACCAGGTAACCCACTACGCCCTATAATCAACCAAATATCAACCCCAACTTATCACCTGGCAAAGAAACTCAATGAACTCCTAACTCCATACACTCCAAGTAAGTTTAGTCTACAATCATCAGCAGATTTCCTAGAATTGATCAAATCTACCCAGCCCGATGGAATCATCGCTTCCCTGGACGTTGAATCCCTTTTTACCAACGTCCCAGTCGACACAACCATAGGAATGATACTGGACAGAGTATACAGAGACGAGAGCACCCCCAAATTAGACATACCTGAGCCACACTTGAAAAGTCTTCTCGAAGCATGTACAAAGGAAGCCCCTTTCATCAGTCCACAAGGAGACATGTATTTACAAATAGACGGAGTAGCAATGGGCTCCCCCTTAGGAGTTTTATTTGCTAATTTTTATATGGGAACCATCGAAGATAGGGTCTTCAGTAGCAGACAAAAACCAACTGTATACTGCCGTTATGTAGATGACATATTCGTAATAGTAAAAGACTCAGATGAACTAATTGACCTAAAAAGACACCTAGAGAGAGAGTCAGTACTCCGATTTACACATGAAAATAGTGAAAATAACAGTCTGCCATTCATGGATGTACTAATAACAAAAACAGGAACCTCTTTAAGCACCAACGTATATACCAAGCCCACCAACATAGGATTATGCCTGAACGGTAGAAGTGAGTGCCCCCAAAGATACAAAGCCAGTGTTCTCAATGCTTATATTCGTCGAGCGCTTACCCACTGCTCTGAATGGAGCAATGTGAGTAGAGAGTTTGAAAGAGTAACTCAGGTATTGGTGAACAACGGATATAGCAACGCTGAAATAAACGCTGCTATAAGAAGACACTTGGACCGTTGGTATAATTCTGAACCTAGAACAGAAACCACAACACCCCCAATAAAATTATATTACAAATCAACCATGCACAGTGAACATATAAAAGAGGAAAGAATAATGAAAGAAATAATCCGTAGCCCCTATGTTTATCCCTTATGTATCCCCCCATGTTTTCACCTTCATTGTATTATCACCTGACCTAATGCGGGTATAAAATCAACTAGTATTGTAAGATCTGTTCACTTGAGAATGAACCATGGAGGTTCGAAACGTCGTGCAAATTATACAAATAAGTGTAATACACTCTATAGTAAATCACTTCTTTTCTTCACCTTAAAAGTACGAAAATGAGTTTTGGAGAACTCCTATTTCAATTAAGCCCTGATGCTAAGAAAATAGTTATATATATATATATATATATATATATATATATATATATATATATATATGATATGGTAAATCTTATGTATATGACATATAACATATGGGCTACATATGTAGCCCATATGTTCTTATGTAGCCACTATATGTGGTCCCAGGGACACTTAATGTTCAAGAATTCTGATATGGCCACTACATATGGCCCCAGGAGTCAGTTTATGTTTATGAGTACTGATGAGGCCCCCATATGTGGTTCCAGAGACAGTTATTATTTATGAGTACTGATGGCCACCATATGTGGCCAAATGGACAGATTATATTGGAGAGTGGCTGTCACAGGTCCCAGGGAGGGTTTATGTTCAAATGTTCTGATGTGGCTACCACATGTGGCCTCAGTGACAGTTATGTTCAAGAGTACTTACGTGGCCCGAGGCCTCGTGTATGTTCAAGACTATTGATGTGGCCACCACTTTTTTTAGGGGGAAGTTAATATCCTAGAGTAATGCCGTATCCTCCAAGGACTGTTTATGTTCATGAGAACTGATGCGTCCGTCATACATTGTCTCAGGGACAGTTTATGTTCAAGAGTGCTTAGGTGGCCACCACATGTGGCCCCAAGTACAGTTTATGATCGGGAGAACTGATTTGGCAGTCACATATGGCTCCAAGGACAGTTTATGTTCAAGAGTACTGGTGTTGCCAACACATGTGGTTCCGGGGATAATTTATGTTCATGAGTACTGATGTGGCAACCACATGTGGTCACAGGGAAAGTTTATGTTCAAGGGCACTAGTGTGGCTACTACGTATGGCTCCAGGAACAGTTTATGCTCAAACGTTCTGATGTGGCCACCATTTGTGGTCAAAGGGTCGGTTTATGTCTAATAGTATTGATGGGGCCACCACTTGTTGCCCCCAGAGACATTTTATGTTGAAGAGTACAGATGTGGCCACAGGGACAGTTTATGCTCAGGAGTACCGATGTGGCACTAGAGACCGTTTATGTTTAAGAGTACTGATGCGGCCGTCACATGTGGCCCCCAGTGAAAGTTTATGGTCAAGCGTACTGATGTGGCTCCGCATGTGACACCAGGGACAGTTTATGTTCAAGAGTACTGACGCATCCACCACATACAGCCGAATCAGTCTTCAAATCCATGAGGCAGTCCCACCAAAGTTAAGAGTCGGTAAGTTTTGTTCCAAGAGGTTGATCTACACAAGCCACATTGAAGAAGCTTGAACCATAAAGCTGTTAAGAGAATGATCATTAACTTTTCGGCTGTGGCCATTAATCAGAGTTGTGATTATTTATGTGCCAATCTGTGTGTAATCAGTGACTTACATGAATAAATATTTTGTATTTATGATATTGCATGTGATTAATTTTGGCTCAACCAGTGGGGGCAGAAGTCTTGTAATCCTCAGCTGAGGTAGTGAATCAGTGAAGACGGTATTGATCTCAAACTACCGAGTAAGGGGTATGTCCCGCAGAGCTACGCACTCTTATGGTAAATCAATTTTGTTGATGCGGTGGCTCTTTGTCTAGGCAAATTCCCTAGTGCTTTCGAATGGATAAAAAAATCATCTACGAATAAGCTCCACACTCCTTAATGGATCCACAATCAGATAACAGGGAACCTGACAAAACGGGGCACTCCCCGAGGCTGAATCGTGGATATACACCATGCAATCGTCACTTTAAGAACCGTTAATCCCGTCGAGATCGGGCTCAGCAACGAAGGCATGGGTTTGACATAAAAGTTTCCCCTCGCTCGAATAAGTCATGCACTTTAGTCCTGCGGACGAGAGAGAATGCCGTCTCAACTTACCCGATATCAGAACAGAAGAAGGCAACTGAATTAATATTCAAGAATGGAACCGAGTCGGCAGGAAGGAACAACTAGAAAGTAGAAAAGGTGGAGAGAGAAAAAAGAAACAAAAGAAAGAGGAAAAGGGATCTGGAAAATTAGAAATGAAGGCTGCAGGAACGCAAGGCTTAAAAAGGTCAGATGAAACGCCAACGCATGGAGCATCACAGCATCACAGTCCGACAAGCCCCCACCAAGCCACTCACGCTGATAACGGGCTTCATATTGAGGGGAATGACGTTGCTAAGTGTTTGGGAAGATTTAAAACATTTAGCAAAAAACACACAGAACTGCCAACAACACGAAGCACACACAGCTGTGGCTCGTGTGATCACGAAGCCTCTTCCCGCACCACAAATCTGTGTCCTAGGCTGGACTCATGGCCCGTTCTGCCTTGACTCCCACCTAAGAAGTCACTTCCTTAACAGCCAATCACCCAACAGTCACTCACCCTTGAAGTAAAACTCACTCACCCTATTAAAAAGATTTCATTTACTTCCCCGACTGTCTAGGGCCCACACTCTGAGATCATTTAAAGGTTTCCTTCGATAATATCTCACCAAAATGAGCTACACTACTCTAAATGTGTTCATCGGAATCCTGAAAACAAGGAGACTAGAAAGACATATGACTTGGCATGTTATCCAGTCGGAAATAAGGATTGTATCCCATTCAAGCAATCACTAATGAATCATTCTTTTCATAAACAAAGGGTGGTGCCGAGAAACCTGACAAAAGTGTTACTCAATACCATCCCCATGTAAAATGAAACAAATACCGTAAAGTCTTACCGAGTTTGATTCTGCGTTGTTCATCTTGAACGTAGCTGTATGGTTCTGTGTAGATCTCAGGAACCTCATTGGGGAAGTGAACGCTCTGGAAGGCCAGGTACAGAAACATGGGGGCCTCAGGATTCAGTGACGACAAGAGCTTCTCCACGTAGGAAGAGAACAGGTACTGTTGAAGAGGTACAGCCATTCACAAGGCTATAGACATGACTAGTAAAAGTGTATTCATTGAAGCTTCGTGAATATGTATGTTCCTGCGATGGTCATTCATTATTCTAATGAAAAGAATAGCAACAGCATACACTGTGAAGGACACGACTGAATGTTGATAATTTGTTTAATGTGTGATAGATATTAAGGTAATCGATTGTCGGCAATCATCAAAAGTCATGCATAGGAAGAGGAAGTTTCCTGATATTAGACAAATTTGAATCTTCTGGAAGTCTGCACACCATGACTAAATATCCATACTACAAAGGTGTAGTGTTCAGGTACATTACCAAAGAATGGAAGCAATGTCTAGGTGCAGTGTGAGAAGAGATTGGTTGTTATAAATGTTATATGGGGAGACCTGGGAGCAGCTGCGCATCCCCACAAGTCCTATATATTTGTGTTTCTAGAGAAGTTTAGTGTTTTATGTACTCCCAAGTGTTTTTTCTCTAGTCATTGCAGGCAGGTCATTTTTCATCAGTGTGAACCGTCCTGATGATCTACTGTCATCTGGTCTCATTTTCAAAACCTTACTCTGGTTGGTGTTGAAATACAGTAACCATTTCCCTGATAAGTTGTGTATCTTATCTTTGTTATCGGAAAGTATTTTGCAATCCACATTAATTTTGCATCACTGCAAATATCTACATAAAGGACCCAACATCTGCAGTAACGTCAATAGCACAGATAAGAAATTTTATGCGTTCTGGTTCCGATCCGCAAGGAACTTCATATGCTATACCAGTCTGACTTCTCGTCCCTCACTGTAACTGACTTCGAACCGTTAGGTGCTTTTTCACATATTTCATTGTTCTAAGTATTAATATATTTTCTGTAAGTAAGTAATTATCAAAAGAATGCACTAAGCTGGACAGACAATGTATCACCATTAATGTCGTAGGATAATGAAAAGCCGCAAAATGTCCCTAAAGATGTCAATATGAGATCGAAAGCGCATAATGCAAGCGATATCAAAGGAATCAATTTCACCAAGGATTCTATCGAGAGATAAATGAAAACAAGGGACAGTAGTGAAACAAGACACACGCACCTTCTGGAAGTCACGACATTCAATATGGATATGCACGGCTATAAGTGGGACAATGCAGTTCGAATAGTAAGGAGCAGGATGGCACTCCATTAAGTGCCCGTGAGTTAAACGTGAATGGCCAATACGTAAACTAGCCATAGCCGGTCCTCCTACCACCTCCGGTTACGGTGGTAGGAGGAAGGCTTAGAGGACAATCTACCATTAAGAGCACGCAGTTTATTACCAGTGACAGAAGACCGACGATCCTGCAAATGGGCATGGATCAAGGAATGAATTACTGGGAAAAAATCCGAATAAGGAACATCTTTTCGGGAAATAGGAAATGCGCGGCTACCCTCCTTAGCGGCAGCATCCGCACACTCATTTAAGGAAATAACAATATGGCTGGGAACCATCAAAACTAAACCTGCATAAATCTGCTAGAGACAAGAGAGACCCAATATTGGGTTTCTACTACCACATGATGTGTAGGGTTAAATGATTCCAAACCCAGGAGAGCACTATTAGAATAAACCACTATGACAAAGGAGCGCCGACGACAGAAAAGCAACCAAGGAAGGGCATATAAGATAGCATACAGTTCAGCTGTGAAGACGCTACCCTCCGGAGGAAGGCGGCACATATAGGTTTGCTCAGGAAAGACAACACAACACAGTATCCAACATAGTCAGCAGACTTGGACCCATACGTGAAGGAGGCAACATATTGCGAGTCCGAAGAAAAATGTTTTGAAAAAGAACGTTTCAAGACTTTACCACAAGGGTCAAAGAATTGCAAAACTTCACAAATGGGACCTGTCAGGGAGGTATGGATGGTACGACATGAGGAGAGACATAGCTAACCCAAACTGAAAGGGAGGCTTGAAAGCGAGACATCCTAACAGAAAAAGGGAGTTGAAAGGGAACAGGGCCCACTGGAGAAGCAACAGCCAATGCACGGCAAATGCTTGAATGAGGATGTTGCTGAGACCTCGATCCTGGGGCGACAAGACGTCCGTTTCAACATACCAACTATGGATAGGTGTCGAACTAAAGGAACCAGAGCTGAGGTGCAATCCAGCATGGTGCAGAGCATCAAGACTGCGAAAGACCAAAGGAGTAGGTTGGGCAGCCAGAATTCAGTTTAGACAGCACGAGAGAGAGGTGCAAATTGAGGAGTGTGCGTCTATCATCTTGCCAGGAAGAATCGGAAAAGACTTTAATTAAGGAACGGGATTTAGAGCATTATACTCGAAGGTAAGATATATGGGGAGACCAAGTCAAACGTGTGTCAAAGAGTAACCCCAAAAGATTAGGAAAATCTTTATACAGAAAGGGACTACCATAGAGCGACAAAGGGGGACGAAGAATGACCTGCTTTCGAGTAAAAATCATAGCACAGGTCTTAGTCGAAGAGCCTAAGTGGCCTAGAACGAGGCGGCATCAATCGCAAGTTTAAGGAAAGGGAAGTCCGCTCCCCGACAGAACAGTGTGAGATCGTCAATATAAAAGGCCGAGAAAATGCCATAAAACAAGAAAAAAATTGAGGGCAACCAGGAAAAGAGTATTCCTCAGAACACTTTCTTAGAAAACACCGTATTCTTGATAAAGAGTCGGAGAAAGTGCTATCAGTCTCAGTTTAAATGAACGGTTAGAGAGGAAGCATTTAAGGAAGACTGGGAGATTGTCACGAAGGTCAAAATAATGGAGTTAGAATAGAATATGATATTTCGCGGTCTTGACATAAGCCTTTTCCCAGATTGAAAAGGACGGCTACAACAGAGGTTTCCACAGCAAAGGCAGAAAGAATATAGGCACTCAAGGCAACTAATACATCAGTCGTGCCGCTACCCTTGCGAATTCCAGAATGAGAAGGGGAGAGGTGGTGATAGTGTTCTAGGAAGCACATCAGATGTACATTGACTATACACTCAAAAGGTCAGGGCCATGGGTCGGAAATCCTTAGGGAAAGTCCCCTGAGTACCGGGATTCAGAATAGGAAGAAAAACTGCCTCAAGCCAGTCATCTGGGACTGACACCTCCCAAATACGGTTTGCAGGTAGAAATTCTGCAAACACTGAAAGGTTCACGGATCGAGGCAGATGACGATTCATCTCATAATGAATGCCATCTGAGCCCCCCACTGCAGAACTGCAGAGGGGTCAGAGCAGACTGGAGTTCTGATATAGAAAAGGGGTCGTTATAGGGGAGCTGTAGATGGGTGCGAACGTCTATGGGACGAGTTTTAATAAGGGGCTTATGAGCAAAAACATTAGGAGGAAGATGAGAACCGAAGCTAGCATTTGAAAAGTTAGAACCCAGCTCCTTTGTGACCGACACCGGATCCATTACGACAGAACCATGGAGGTGTAGTACAGGTGAAATATCTGGAACAAGCTTAATCGCAATCTTGCGGAATTTCTTCCAGCTCTGAGGGGGAGTGGTGTCAACCGTATGGGTGGAGACATAAGATTTACAGCACTCAAGCTAAGCCTTACAGAGGGCCCTACAGGCCACCACACTCTACTTCCAAACCAAATTAATACAATCAGGTGTGTGTATCAAGTGTATTTCCACGCTGCACACGTAGAGCGGACAGCCCGAGCACAGTCTGAATTCCAACAAGGATTGCAATTCCGTGTGCCGCGGGAGGTAGAACTGGGAACATAAAGGAGGGCAGCATTGAATAATGCATCATGAAAAAGGAAGAGAGCTCGAGGGAGAGGCAGATTGGAGAGACCAGAAAGAGAAGTATAGAGGGTGAGTATATTCAAGGCAAATTTTATCAAACTCCCACTTAGGGAAGGAAAGGAAAGAGTAGGGTGGAAAGAAAAGAATACGAGGATGGGGAAATTGTCACTGTTATGGAGGTCATTAAAAACTCTCCAGGTAATCTCTAAATAAATAGAAGAATGACAGAGAGATCAAGACGGGCTTAAAGTGCGAGTGCGTGTGTCAACATGGGCTAGCCCACTAGAATTCAGAAGAGACAAAGAAGAAAAAAGGGCAAAAGGTTCGAGAAGGCGGCTATGGGTATTTGTCAGATCATTGCCCCAGAGGGTTATGCCGACAGTCAAAATCACCCAAAAGAAGCATAGACTTCGGTAAAAAGTCCGAGAGGTGTTTAAGATCTGGAAGAGAAAGTAGAACATTTGGTTGGGAGATAAATGGAAAACACTATGTACGATTTACTCACAAAAATTCGGGCAGCAGAGGAATGAATGCGTGACTGAAAAAGTAGGGGGATAAAGGGATTATGATTACGGATCAAGAGAATAGTAGGGGTTAAGATCCCCAGTAAAAACTGGAGGGAAAGAGAAAAAGGAATAACCACAGAAGCGATCAGGATGAGCACCAAGCATTGGCTTCTGGAAACAGAAACAAAGTGCTGAAAATTGTGAGATCAGATGTTGGAGTTAATGAAAGTTGGTATAAAAAGCCACAAATATTCCATACAAGAAGAGGTATAGCTTATACAGAGATAAGAAGAAAAAAAAAGAAGAGAAAAAATAAAAGACGAAGTCAAAGATGAATACGGGATGCTAGGAAGAATCAGGCGCAGGTTCAGCGAAATCAGGATATAGGGGCAAAAGTAAATCAAGCAAAGACGATTGATTAATGGGGTCAGAATAAGGGTGTACAGGCAGACTGACAGATTTTCTTACATCCACAATACTACTTTTTAATGTAACTAAAAAATATAAACACCTGTTTGAGGAGTGTATCAAAAAATAAATCTATATAATAAATCAAATTAAGAGTAGTTAAATTAAACAAAACCCTGCTTTCTGGGGATTAATAACAACGAATTTGGAGTGACATCCCTACTATCCCGAGGAGGAGAAGTGCCATACTGAAAACGGGACTGACACTGACTGTACAAAAATCTTGGTAGTCGTGATACTAGATAAACTTCTCACCCACTCACAA